GTTTAGTGTGTCTAGGGTTTAGGGCCTAAGGTTAGGGTTTAAAGCCTATGAGCATCCAAGTAACTACGCCACCCGGCTGCGCAGAAGAAGGCCCACCGAGGGTTTCATTATGCACTTTGGGTGGGGCAACATGAGGGTTTAGGGCTTAGGGTTTAGGATGCCATGCCCTAAACCCTAAACCCTAAACCCTAAACCCTAAACCCTAAACCCTAAACCCTAAACCCTAAACCCTAAACCCTACACCCTAAACCCTAAACCACGCGTTCTGAACGTAGGTTCTGCCCTCCTTTGGTTCCAGGGCTCAGGGTTTAGGGTAGACGTTCGCTACATGCTCGTACGCAACAGAGAGAAGCGCAGTGTGAAAGACGTTATGTCGTAGTGTACGAGTGCTGGAGCAGCTAGAGGAGAACTGTGAGTGACTTGGCTGGGATCGCCCGAAACCAGTGAAGCATGCGTAGTGCACGACTTGAACAGGCTGGCCCACGCAGTTCATAACACACCCAAAATTCTGTTCCCGGTACCATGTTTGGCGGTGTTCAGATACGAACTCTAAACCCTAAACCCTAAACCCTAAACCCTCTGAAACCTGGAACGCCAACAAGCTGAGCCCTGCCAAGCTTGGGAGGGTCACTGGTGGAGGAAGGACTTGGACTTGAAATAGAGGTCCTTGTACCTGAGCCATTGTGGGGGGGTATCAGTTAACATGCTCAGTTTTGTTCCTTATTGGCTTCAAGTATTTCCTAAACCCTAAACCCTAAACCCTAAACCCTAAACTGCAAAAAACAAAATTCTCAACAATGACCCAGGTACCTGAACTCCTTCAGCACTGCAGCGGGTCTGAGCGCCTCGGTGGCTTGAGCTGCACAGTTCAGGCCTTGGAGGCGCCTAGGGTTTAGGGTTTAGGGTTTAGGGTTTAGGGTTTTTTGGTTTAGGGTTTAGGGCTTAGGGCTTAGGGTTTAGGGTGAGCTTCAGGGCAAGGAGTCCTGAAAGGGGAAAGCCTGTACGACGTCGGATCTCGCGTACTATATGTTCCTATATTGTGTATTGTATTGTATGTTGTGTGTGTGTTTTTTTTTTTTTTTTTTTTTTTTTATCTCTCTCTCTCTCTCACTCTCTATATATACTGTACGTTATATATATATATGTGTACATGTTTAGTATATGCTTGTTTATTATATAGATTCTCGCCACGAATCTCGCCACGAGAAAACTACAACATAGAGGGACATGTGTGCAACACTTTGCTTCAGATGCCGATGTACAACCCCCTGAATCCCCAAATCCTCGAAAAAAACCACGCGAAGATTGCGTCTGGGATAGGAGGCAAAAGAGACCCCTAAACCTAAACCTCAAGGGAGCTTGAGGGGTAGCCAAAAGGGGAAAACACAACCCCTCTATAGCCCCTTATCCGGGATATAGGGTACCTCATTCGTTTAGGGTTTAGGGTTTAGGGTTTAGGGTTTAGGGTTTAGGGTTTAGGGTTCCCCACACGAAGAACCAGAATCTAGGGTCGGCCCAAGTGTGCCTCCCCGGGAGCCGCCGTGTCGGCATGATCGCCCATGGCTTGCAATCGGCTGGCTTCGAGCCTTTTGCAAATCAGATGTGTGTTAAACCCTAAACCCTAAACCCTAAACCCTAAACCCTAAACCCCAAACCCTAAACCCTAAACTCTCCGGATTTTGGATGCGTGGTTTGCTTGAGTCCGGCCTAAGTACCCCATCCCCCCTCTAAGCCACAGGCTTAAAGGCTTCAACCCGCGCCCTACGAACCGGATGAGTGAAACTGCCCTGATGGTGTTGGCGTTGCCGAGCCGAGGTCGTTTTTGCAGCTCAGGTCACCCCACCCTAAACCCTAAACCCTAAACCCTAAACCCTAAACCCTAAACCCTAAACCCTAAACCCTAAACCCTAAACCCTAAACCCTAAACCCCTGGAGGGGCGACTCAGGGCTCAGGGGTGTGAACTGAGGGGTTTTTGGGGGGGCTGCAACCCCCCAAAAACCCTGAAACACCCCAACAAATCGTACTAACAGCGGTTTGGGGTTTAGGGTTTAGGGTTTAGGGTTTGGGGTTTAGGGTTTAGGGTTTGGGGTTTAGGGTTTGGGGTTTAGGGTTTTAAGGTAACTTGGCATGTGGGATGGCCGAAGACACGACAGGGCACGGTAAGCTCTAAAAACCCTAGCCTGACTCCGCAATTTGGCTCGAAATGCAACCTTCAGTGGATTCAGTGTCCAAGCTCTAATCATCCCATCAACACCGATGGGTTCTTGAGACTATTAGCTCGGGGCGAAAGCTCAAGAAGACAAAAGACGGAAGCTAACCCTGAACCCTGAACCCAACCCGAAAGCTTAAGCTTGAAACCCATTTATGAAAATTTATAAGAAGATTAAGACTAAACAAAAGCCCTAAACTCTAAACCCTGAACATAACCACGCAAAACCCAAAACCCTAAATCGCCCTTAAAACGCGACTTGTAAAGCCCTAAAACCCTCAGGGGCAGTGCTCGGCCTTCAAGGTGAAAGTCTTCGGGATCAGATGCTAGGGTGGGGTTTGGGGTCCGGGTTCAGGGATTTCAAAACCCCAAACAAAACGTTTGGGGTTTAGGGTTTGTGGTTTAGGGTGATTGGTTTAAGGAAGGCAGCATGACCTCTGAACAGCAAAAATCTACAAAAAGCTACCCCGGCTTTCTGCCAGCATAGTACCCTAAACCCTAAACCCTAAACCCTAAACCCTAAACCCTAAACCCTAAACCCTAAACCCCAAACCTTAAACCCTAAACCTTAAACCCGAAACCCTGAGCCGGACATCCAAAACCCTGAGCCCTCAACACGTAACCTGAGCCCAAAGTCCTAAACCCTAAACCCTAAACCCTAAACCCTAAACCCTAAACCCTAAACCCTCTGATTCCTTGTCCCCTACCTTGGAGTAGACCATGGAAACAAGTATACCCTTTTTAGGTAGAAGTAGCGATAATAGGAACCTAGAACCGAGCAAGTATTAAAGTATAGTACTCCAAAACCCAGTTTTGATGTCCTTCAACCCTAAACCCTAAACCCTAAACCCTGAACCCTAAACCCTAAACCCTAAACCCTCTGATTCCTTTTGGATGTCCATCAAGGAGGTCCCTTCGTCCGACGTCTTCGCTTGGGCCCTCCCTCGGTGAGAAGAGCTGCGATGCCGCCGTGGCCTGAGGCATTGGCCTGAGTGTTGATTGGGTTTGGGGTTTGGGGTTTGGGGTTTGGGGTTTGGGGTTTAGGGTTTAGGGTTTAGGGTTTAGGGTTTAGGGTTTAGGGTTCAAGGTGACCCAGGAGTAACCTAGGAATAAAAAGGGCACCCTTTTTGGGTTGAAGGGGGGTCATAAGGGAACCCCAACCCCAAAAAAAGGAAATAAGAGCCTACTCCGTCCGGGTCCTAGTTTCAGCAGTTTCTTGGGGTTTAGGGCTTCGAGGGCTCGTGAGCAACATTCAGTCCCCTGGATTTAGGTACAGCCCCTTACTTCATGAAGGGGAATGTGGCCCCCCAGTGTACCCAACAGGTGCCCAGGAGCTATGTCCAGCGGCGTGTGGCCGTTGGCTTGCGCGTCCACTTGGGCCCTGCCTTGGACGAGCTGCTTCACAACTTCCAGGTGCCCATGCTGGCATGCTATGTGCAATGGCGTGGTCTGATGTGGTGTGAAGGCATGGTTGATGCTCATGCCATTGTCCACCAGCACTTGCACAATGTCTGCGTGCCCTTTCAAGCAGGCAATAAGCAGGGGTGTTGCGCAGTGATCAGCGACGTGGTCTGGACTTGTTCCATGCCGCAGCAAGAACCGCACAGTGTCGGCTCGACCTTCCAAGCACGCCATACTCAGCAGCAAGCGAACCTTACCTCTCCAATAACCAAGGGGAAAAAAGGCTAAACTTCAATATCCCTGCTAAATAAGGAAGCCCAAAAAGTTCAAAAAATCAGCTAAAGGCGGAGTAAGGAGCAGTCTTGATGTGGCTGCGGGTGCCATCTAGGTGCAATGGGACTCTGCTGCTGGCATCGCAGTCGAGCCGGCACACGCCCAGCCCCATCAGCAGCTGCACAATGTGTGTGGAGCCTGCGGAGCATGCCAAGCGCAAGGCGCCGACCCCATCCGCACCGGCCTCAAGCAAGAACCGGGCAACATCGAGGCGTTCATTCGCACAGGCACACAGCAAGGCCATGTTGTTCTTCTCACTCGGCATGTCCACATTGGCCCGATGCTGCACCAACAGCCGAACAATGTCCAGGTATCCTCGCCTGCATGCTGCGATCAGTGGTGTAGTGTAGTGTAGGTTTGCTGAGACATTGTTGGTATCCGCACCGGCATCGCACAGCAAGCGAGCCACTTCGGCATGGCCCAGACGGCATGCCACATGCAGAGGTGCCAGACCATTCGATCCCACTGCGTTGACATCGACTCTATCCAAAATGCACATGCGTGCAACTTGTACATGCCCCCGGGCGCATGCTAAGTGGAAAGGCAGATCACCGTTTGCTTCAGTGGTGTGCAAATCTGCCCCAGACTGCAACAGCCAGCGCGCAACTTCTACCCGGTCCCGTGCGCATGCCCAGTGCCTCGATTGGTCTTCAGACAACAGTCTCGAGCTCTCTTGCTTGAGTCTCCACCCTGTTTAAAAGCACGGTTCAAGTCAGCAAAAAACACAACTGCTAAAGCCTTAAACCCTAAACCATAAACCCTAAACCCTAAACCCCTTTAAGAACAGCCCCGAAGGCAGAGGCGTCCGCCGACTCCGGCCGCCCGGCTTCCCCATGTCCGCCTTGGCCTCCAACAGCAGCTTGGCTGAGCGCAAGCTGCCATTCTTGGCGGCTAAGGACCTCAATGTGATTTTTTTAGGGGTTTAGGGTTTGGGGTTTAGGGTTTAGGGTTTGGGGTTTAGGGTTTGGGGTTTGGGGTTTAGGGTTTAGGGTTTGGGGTTTAGGGTTTGGGGTTTAGGGTTTGGGGTTTAGGGTTTAGGGTTTGGGGTTTGGGGTTTGGGCTTTAGGGTTTAGGGTGTGGGGTTTGGGGCTTGGGGTTTAGGAAAAAACAGGGCTTTAGGGCTTCACACCAAAACAAAAAAGCCCGGAACACACACTTTTTTGGGGGCTTCAGGGGGCTTAAAAAAGGGGCTTCAAAGGGACTTAAAAAAGGAGGTTCTAAAAAAGGGGGGGCCTTAAGGGGGCTAAAAAAAGGGCTTCAAAGGGACTTAAAAAAGGGGGTTCGAAAGCCGGCCCTGTAAAAGTCCTGTGTGCTGAGAACATCCTGGGCGCAGGCAGGGCAAGCCGCCCTCCACTTCGACATCCTTAGCAGCCCAGCAACCATGTAATAAGGGTTTAGGGTTTAGGGTTTAGGGTTTAGGGTTTATGTTAGGGTTCCGGATCGAGTTGCTCACTAGCGAGCAAAATAGCTAGAGCCCCAGAACCCTAGCCATGGCCCCACAAAGATGGGGAACAGGGTTCGCCAGGAGCCAGCAACAGAACGTGGACAGACTTTTCGAGACTGCTGCGTGGGACATTTCGGATGTCACTCGTCCTGATGTACCCGATGCTAGGCTACAAGAACATATTTCTTCTGCCATCCCTTTGGTCTTGCAGCAGGAAGGGGTTTCACTGCGGGGTCTTCGATTGTTGGTACAGCAACGCTTGAGCGCGGATTTGTCCGCCAGAAAGGCAAATATTCGCTGGCTTGCAGAGAAGGCTGTTGATGCCTGGTCCGAGGGCTACTATCTGCCGAAGCTGTCTGCGAGCACACTCGCTGACCTGCGGAGCTCCGTTGCAAGGATTTGGGAGCCACTGCCGAGATTTGTGGATCGGGGCCGGAGTCTGTTCATGTCCCTCAGTGATGTGCCAGAAGGTTTGCCCGCTGGAATGTTGCGTCGAAGCCTTGCCGACAAACCGATGGTGGGCGACTGCCAGCTCCAAGACGAGATTAGATGGTCGACAGAGGCTGCTGTTCAGGACGAAGGTGGCGTAGTTGTAGAGGACGTCAGTGCATTCCTGGTGCAGATTGACATATGTCCTTTGTTCATCGTGGCCCTTGGTGAAGCTCATGCCAAGGCAAAGATGGTGGAACACGGCACGCTGGACAATGATCGCTTCGGGTTTGCGTGCTTCGATCCCGGGGGTTATACCCAGGTGGGCAGCGGAGCCGAAACCATCTCAGCCATGGTGGCACTTGACGCCTTCGACCCCACCAAGGCCAAGCAGCCTCGTGACGTGAGGACGAGCCGCAACCACACGTGAAGGCAACCACTCGATTTGTAGCTTTCGTGGTCGTTCACGGAGTTCACAGGACCATACGTTGTATGAGGTTTGGGACAGCTTTTGGCACGGCTTTGCGCTGTGCGCTGGTTCAATCCTGAATCCCTCACTTTCAACCGGAATACCCACTAAGTGGATCGCCGGTTTTGTGCTTTCCGGGGCTTGGGCCGAGCACATACTAGGTGTGAGGGCATCCCCCTAGATTTCTGGCCGGCCCTTTCTGCTTGCAACCTAATTAATGTGGCGACTTCTCTGACAATATTGAAACAGGAAACAGGGTTTATGTTTAGGGTTTAGGGTTTAGGGTTTAGGGTTTAGGGTTTAGGGTTTAGGGTTTAGGGTTTAGGGTTTAGGGTTTAGGGTTTAGGGTTTAGGGTTTAGGGTTTAGGGTTTAGGGCTACCAAGCATCTGGGTCCATCGGTTGCTGCAGGAAGGAATCCACCGACACCTCGTCGTCCTGGGAGATGGCCGCAGAGAAGGATTGTAGCTCCTTCGTAGCCCAGCAACCATGCTATGATAAGGGCACCCTCTTTCTTTGGTTGGTTACTTTTTTAGTGGAACCCAGATCCAAAAACGGTACCCTAAACCCTGAACCCAAAGCCCTAAACCCTGAAACCTAAAGCCTAAGCCGGAAAAGGGTACCACGGGGTTACCAAGGGCTCCTGAATCCCCGGTGCGCAGAGTGACAGCAGCACCAAATGCAAGACAACCGGCAGGTCGAGCAAGTCCAGTGGCGTGTCGTCACTGAGCAGCTGTCCTATAAACCCTAAACTCTCACCCCAAACCCTTTAAAACCTAAACCCTAAGCCCTAAACCCTAAGCCCTAAACCCTAAACCCTAAGCCCTAAACCCTAAACCCTAAACCCTAGCCCTAAACCCTAAACCCTAAACCCTAAACCCTAAACCCTTGTCCGTTGAGCAGCAGGCGCTGCCGGAACCGCGGAAGCCCCATCAGTGTCTCCAAGTGCTGCTTCAGAACTCTCCCCAAGCCGTTGCCAAACGCAGCCATGTCCTCGAGCTCCTCACTTTGCACAAGAGCTCAACAAAGCTTCGGAGGTGGAATACATCAGGTCAAAACTCAGAACTGCCGAAGGCAACCCTAAACCCTAAACCCTAAACCCTAAACCCTAAACCCTAAATCAACATTGAAACAATGAATTCACTGAGGGCTCCTGTGCAGACAGGACGAGCACTTCCAGCCCAGAGGTCATCATGACGACCCGGAGGACGGCCATCAGCCGCTCCCTGTAGAAACCCTAAACCCTAAACCCTACTGGGGCAAGGGTCTTTGGACTGAAGGACAACGCCATCCTCCGATTGATTCATGGGTAGCGAAGGTAAACTCAAAGTTCGCACAGGTCTTGGGGCACCCTAAACCCTAAACCCTAAACCCTGAGGCTTAGGGTTTAAGAGCAAGTTTCGGGATTCTCAGGTCCAGGAAGCAGCTAAATGTTCGGGTACCTCCCACAAGACCCTGAATTCCGGGAGAAACCCCCGAAACCAGCGGCCCTTGTCGGTATCCGAAGCCCTGAAATCTGCTGCTATTCCGCTAATTATTAAGAACCCTGAAATAACACAAGTATTCTTCCCCTTTAGCACATGGCCGTACTGTAACGCAACACTTGCATTTCCCCAGACACTGGGCCTGTCGGTTTCGGATCTATATCAGGTTGGCGCTTGAAACCCTCTGAACAGATTCCCGAAGATGAGCTTCTTGAACCCAAGAAGGCTAGACCCGGGAGTAACCTAGGAATAAAATGGGTACCCTTTTTGGTTTTAAGGGGATTATAAGGGAACCCCAACCCTAAAAAAGGAAAAAAGGGCCTACTCCCTGTCCTAGAAGGGAAAATCGACAATATCTCGAAATCTACCCGAACAAGGGCCTTATGGAACCATCCTGTCTGGGCCCCTACTGGCCTTGGATAACTGGATTTTGGGGTGTGGGTTTAGGGTTAGGGTTTCGGGTTTAGGGTTTTCGGGTTTAGGGCCATGGGCGTAGGGCATGAGGGTCAGGTGTCTTGTCCCAGACTTGAGCAAAGATCTCGCGCAGGAGTAGATAGGCACGAAGACCAAAGGGCACTACCCTAAACCCTAAACCCTAAACCCTAAACCCTAAACCCATATTCTCTTGGCTTAAGGTGCCAAAACAAGCCAAACCCTCCAGTTCCCCGGGCCCCATGACCATGGCAGGTTGATTTCCTGTCCGCGTTCTTTCCTACTCAACGAATACTCCTGAGCCCTAAACCCTAAACCCTAACCCTAAACCCTGAGTGAAGTTTTGAATTGCTCAGTCGCATGCGTTTTCTTCATCTGCGTAAAAATCCAGAGCCATGGATCCCAAATCCCCAGAAGGGGGACCCGATTCCTGATTCGTTTAACCCTAACCCCTAAACCCTAAACCTAAACCCTAAACCCTAAACCCTTATCCCTGAAGCCCCCTGAACCTCAACCCCCAGGCCCGTGACTCCGAACACAAACTTGTTCTTGAAGGTTCGCGGTTACATACAAGTGGGGCCATAAGTCTGGGGCGACTATGGTTGTAACCGTATATGGGGTACTTATAACCCGACTTCTTACTACCCCCCTGAACCCTCAAGTAGACCCTCAACCCTGATACCTCAAGCCTACTGATAAGTACCCTACTTTGGGATGCTCCCCCGCGTACTAACAGTCCTTGTTCGGGATTGAATTAAGCATAATTGGGGGGGTATTCTAATCCCTATTCAGGACTGTTAGTATAAGGGGGAACATCCCAGCCCTAAACCCTAAACCCTAAACCCTGAACCCATAACCCTAAACCCTAAACCCCAAACCCTGTTTAAGGGGCAACATCCCAAGTCATGTCAAGCAAGCTCGCGGCTCCTTTTCTACTACAAGGCATGCCCGACACCACCCTGGGAGCTGGTCTTGCCCAGGATTGCAGCACCTGTCGAAGGGATCCATACTCCACCCCAACCCCTAACCCTAAACCCTAAACCCTAAACCCTAAACCCTAAACCCTAAACCCTAAACCCTAAACCCTAAACCCTAGACCCTAGACCCTAGACCCTAGACCCAAAACCCTACCTTGATGTATGTGGTCATTGTCGCTGTTTGGCTTGCCTCTTGTTGCCAGCTGCTTAAAGTGGGGCATGTGGGCACATTCGCTTCCCGAACTCTAAACCATGAAGTCGTAAACCACGCAACCAATTAAACCAACAAACCCTCAAACCGAAAAACCTTTAAACCCATACAGCCTCACACCAATAAACGCCTAAACCCGAAACCCTAAACCTTTACCCTGGCGATAGTCCTAACAGTCCTTATCGGGATTCTAGTACCCACGATTATCATCCCGACTAAGGACTGTGAGCATAAGGGGGAACATCCCACCCTAAACCCTAAACCCTAACCCTAAACCCTAAACCCTAAACCCTAAACCTAAACCCTAAACCCTAAACCCTAAAGCCTAAACCTTTTTAACCCACAAACCCAGACGCCTGTGCCTTGATGAAAGAGGCCCATGCAGCTTCGAGCTTACGGCCCTAGAACTGAGGATGGTTGTTAGGGGCTTGGGGGGTTTAGGGTTTAGGGTTTGGGGGTCCGGGCTTGAAGCTTTAGGATCTGGCAGCTTAGGCCTTAGCGCTTAGGATGCGAACAGGGCGCAAGAAGCACGTTAAGGGTTTAGGACTTTCGGACTTTCGGGGCTTCGGGGTTAGGGCTTTAGGCTTAGGGTTTACATTTACATTAGAGATTGCAGGATTTTCAGGGGATTAGTGGTTTAGTTCGGGCTTAGGGCTCAACCTAAACCCTTAACCCTGAACCCAGACCCTAAGCCCTCAACACAAAACGCACAGAACCCTGCTGAAACCTCGAACCTCGCAGCTCTACGGTGGAAAGCCTCAGAGCCCTCAGAAGTGGAGCTGAATCCCACGACCCTTTCACCAAGAAGTTTAGGGTTTAGGGCTAGGGTTTAGGGTTTAGGGTTTAGGGTTTAGGGTTTAGGGCTTAGGGCTTAGGGTTTAGGGTTTGTGGTTTAGGGCTTAGGGCCTAGGGTCAAGAAGTTTCAGAGCCCGGCCTGAATCGACCTCCGCTGCCTCAGACTTGGGCTTGGGTCCGCGATTCTGGGATTTCGGAGTTTTTTTCTCATCTGGTAAACTACAAGTATAGGAAGAAAAATATAAAAATGAATATAAATATAGTAGAAGTATAAATGTAAATATAAATGTAAACAAACACATGTACATATAAATATAAAGAGAGATATATATAGGTATATATACATATATAGATTATGGTCACTTCTCTACATTATGGTCCCTTTTTGGGGCTACAGTTATGAGGCGGCCCTAGTAGATAGGGTACCCCCCCCCATACAAGATCATACAAGTTTATATATGTTTATAAAACCGTAAACCCTAAACCCTAAACCCTAAACCTTTAGTAATGTAGCTAGGGTCTCGGGGTCCGGGCTTGAAGGCTTAGGGACTCCGGGCCTTCAGGGGCTTGAGGATTTGAGGATTTGGTTTAGGGTTTAGGGTTTAGGGTTTAGGGTAAAGAGTTTTAAGGTTTAGGGCTTAGAGTGTTTAGGGTGTAGGGTTCACGCAAGTTGGGGAAAGGAGCTGAGACTTCAGACTGCAACGTGCAGGATAGGGTCGTTGGATGCTTTCGGTGCAGAAGCGCTAGGGACCAGCTGACCACTTGAAGCTTCATGGGTTACTTCTAAGTAGGATAAGAGGTGGCCTGAGTAAGGTAGTAACCACAATTACCCGACTTGTAGCCCTACTTCTAACCCTACTTCTAAGAACCCATAAACTTCCCAGTGGGCTTTGGGGCTGAGGGTCTACGATTTCGGGTACAAGACCAGGCTGAGGCAAAGGCAAGAACTGTTTCCGAACCGTGTTTGATGGTCTTGAGAACCTGCCGGAATGCGGTCTCGGCATTGAGCCGAGTTCATGCTGCTGTTCTTAGTTCAGCCTGGCAGTGCGTAGGTCTAGCTGCCTGGCATAGGATGCAATACCGACAGCAGACGTCTGTTGCTCACAGGGGTGCACGACTCTCGTCTCGCACGACCAAAAAATTGTCCCGTCAATTTGGGTTCCGGTTTAGGGTTTGGGGAACGGACGACTATCTTCCCCCCTTCTGGGGTTTTAGGGTCCAGGCACTCCCCAAGACCTGCACAAACTTAAGTCGCCAGCTTTTTCGAAGGCTGAGTTGGAAAAGGATCGAACTTCTGGGGCCTTTAGGGGGTCTCCAGATGCACATACTATGGTGAGGGTACCCAAAGATAGGGTCATAGGGCCCATAAAGTAGCTCAATGCCCGCCCCAACTTTATCGAGTCTTATTCCCATTTCTTTTGAGCCTTCGGCCCCCGGAAAGGTTGGCTTCGGTTGAGTCCTAGACCCCTGAAACGCTTTAGGGTTTAGGGTTTAGGGTTTAGGGTTTAGGGTTAGCACCTGCAGCGGTTCCTGCCTTTGCAAGCTCTGATGCAGGAAAAGCCCCACCGATCTCGAAAACTCCATGCCTTGAGGCCTCCATTAATCGAAATGCTTTGAACCTAAGCAGTGCACCCTGAACCCAAAACCCTAAACCCCAAACCCCAAACCCTAAACCCTAAACCCGAACCTGCTAAACCCTAAGATTAAACCCTAAACCCTAAACCCTGAAACTAAACCCAAGCGGACCTAACAGTTGCTACTGAATTTCAGTGCGGACACCTAAGGCCCTCATCCAAAGGTTGGCACCCGCTCGGTACCCAGACCCTTCTTTACTCCACAAGCAGGCCTGAAACCATGCTGGGAGGTTCATGAGTACATACAAGTAGCGTTGTAAGTTACCCGATTAGAAGTAGCCATGAACCCCCACGTGCAGTCGCCACGCAAGAGGCAAGAACCACAAGGGCCTGCTTGAGACGCTCTCCCTGCGAATAGGAGTGGGCACCCTGGCGAGGACTTCGGATGTAGGGGCTGTTTGGGGAAGCTTCGGTTTCAGCAGGTAAGTTCCTCAAGCAGATCTCCCCCCAAAGGTTTAGGGTTTAGGGTTCAGGGTTCAGGGTTTAGGCAAAACCCTGTAGCAGTGCCAGCGGACAGTCTCATCCTTGCCTATCAGGCTTGGTGCCGGAAGTTTTGACCGCCGTCTTATCTGGGCTCAGTAGGGATTACAAGGGTATCTTACTTACAGAGGGTGGGGGGGGGGGGCGTAAAAAGGATCATCATGTACCAAACTGGGCATCCAAGATGTTCCGACCATTCAAGG